CAACGCGTAAAAAGACAGTATAAGTCATTATAATTCGTCCCCACTGGATGCAACGAATGCCTCATTTATAATGGGTTTCCATGTTTTTGAATCATTGCTCCGGCCTGACAGGGCATCATCACAGTATGGTAGGGGCATAATATTTCCATCTCACGCTTGAGGTATTCGGCCAATCATAATGCACTGGATAGCTGGCCAATCAGAGCATACCTCACTTTTCAGAACGATGAGCTTTGTAAAAATCGACGTTTCAGAAAGGCGGGGCATAGAGGAGAAACAATAATGTACAGTATGTGGAAAATAATGTGTTTTTTTAACCTTAAACCGCATAAACACATTTCATTACACCAAATACACAAAACTATGTTCTTTTTAGCAACATCATATGACCCCTTTAAGACAGTCTATTCAGACATGTATATCCTACTCCTGTATATCACTGATGAACATGCGGAGCATGCTGTGTTCTTGATCATTATTGTTCAGGTGGTAAATAATCAGAGCTTGCTGTGCTCTTAAACACTGAGACATTATGAGCTCATAATAAAGAGTTTCTATCGACTTGTTGCCAGCGGTTGAATCACCTCAAGATCTATGCCATGCATCTCTGCCACAACGCGGAGTTGCATCAGATTTGCAGCAGCCAGTACAGGTTTAATAAGTGGCACTCGGTGTAGTGAACCGAAAAAAAAAAAAAGTTCAAAGAAAGCAATAACTGTGACAGGTCCTGTTCAGCAGCACACTTGAGTTCTGTCACTTTAAAATATTAATATGCTTGTGTTACAGTATACAGGAAATATTTCAGGAAGTATAACAGACTTTCAGAAATCTGCTCTGGTCAAGCACAGACACTTAAGCTACTTTATATATTTATATATATTTTGTAAGTTGCTCTGAATAAGATAGTAAGCTTTGTATTTATATATACACTTTATTTTGAAAAAGACTAAAAATTTTATTTTAAAAATGTAAAAAGTATTTTTTCAAAGAGATATACAGTTTTGAATATTTTACACACACACACACACACACACACACATACATATTTCTAACTTTTTAACTTGTTAAAAAAAATAAAATGTATTTAAAATGTAATATATATATAAAAACATATAAAAAATAAAAACAATTACAAACTTATTTTCACATTAGATTTTTTTTTTGTAATTTTAATTGTTTTTTTAATGATATTTTTTAATTATTTATAACACCACAGAATTCACCAAATTGCTAATTTACTGATTCTTGTGTTTTAATTTAAACAATATTCCCCATTAAACAAGTTTTGCTGAAACCATTGGTTAGAAAAAAAAAAGTTGTAAACACCTGGAATATTTCTTTAAAAAATACAATATAATTAACATTTATTTAAAATTCACCTTTTCACTTAATTGTCATACAGAGAGAGAAAAGAAAGCTAATGTAATTTCCATCTTTAATAATTGTGTAATAATAATGTTGACTTGACTGCACAGACACTATTGGAAGAGAGCTGAGCTGAGCTGGACGATGACATAACTGAATCAACAATGAACTGACTTTAACTGATAAACTGACTGATTTCTATTGTCCTCTTGCATTATCAGCACATGATTTTCCTGTTTAATACTGTAAAGCTGCTTTGACACAATCTGTATTGTATAAAGCGCTATATAAATAAAGATGACTTGACTTGACATATATGATGTGCACATAAACATGCACTGCATAGATCTTTGTAATAGACTGTTATGTCAAACAAAGAGCAAACAAACCCAAATAATGACAAGGAAATATACGTCAGGGAAATGTGAGGGGAAATTCTGACATGGAATTCCATGTACGTTGTTCATGATGTTTTTTGTATATCTTCATGCTTTATGAGAAGTGAAGTAGGTCACAGGTCACTCACAGAAGGTGTTGCACAAGTTCAGCCTCTGAAAGACCTCAAACGTCAGTATCCTCAATGTGAGCCGTCCATGTCACGCAAGACTTCCGTGCATCTACCTGAACGGCAGGTTTCAGCCGTGCAGTGGCTTTTAAATATTTCTTTGTTTTTGAGCTAAAACGGACGTGCATCTCGTTCTGAACGGTTTTGCTTGATAGTGGGTCATGAAATTACAGCCATGCATGGTTGTCTTGACAAGGAAAATGTGACAAAAAGAAAAAGCTCATCAGACAAATATGCAGTTGTACTAGTTCTTCTAGCTGTACAATATTAATCAGGGTGGTGATAGACTAATGGTTAAAGCTGCATGTGCATCAGAAGTTGGGGATATAGATGAACTCCAGTATTGATATCAAATTTGCCCTGTTATTCGCTCATTCTCATGCACCTATAAGGCTGAAAATATACCTAAACAGAGGAAAGTTGCTGGTTTAATACATATTAAGCTATTAAGCCATTTCCCATATAGAAAAAATAACTCTATATGTTGTTAACAGTGAAGCTCAATGAAATATATTTTTCAATTAGAAAATATATTTAGCTTCAACTTTCACACACCAAAATATATTTCAAAATGTATTTCAAGGGCACTATAATAAATTTCCAATGTTACAGTAGCCTATTTAGGAAAGATGCAAATGTAGAATAGGCTACTAGGATCCAAACTATTAGATTTAATTACTAGATTTGACTTAACATTTATAGAGAGCGAGAGAGAGTGTGTTTTTTTGTATGTATTTTACTCCATTTAAATGTTCTTGTCTTGTATCCTTGTGCATATCGTATGAAAGGTCACAACAGGAGCTGAAATATAAGGAGGAAATACTGACTATAACTTTATACACACAGACAGTAAGCGATCCTGTCATTTCAGTCGCAGTTTGAGATGCATAATGTTTAAGTCTTGTGGCTGAACTTATGAAGTGTGTATTTTAACATTTATGCTGCACTACTTCCATTGTGAGGTAATCAACATAACAGCAAAATTTGGTCACATTTAAAATGACTGAAGGCCAATGCATTAGACAACAAAATAAAGCAAGTGGCATTTTGTTTGCAAGAAAGATGACTCAAGTACACTTTACATGCACCAAAAGACATGTTTTAATAAATAAAAAAAAATCAACCTTTCGTATATTACAAGTTTTCTGAAATGTTATTTTTAAATATGCACTATTTGCAATTTTAGGAAGAAAGTGCTGTATATAATCAGATAAATGAAATATGAACAAACCTAAACCTAAAAAAAATTTAAAAAAACTTCAGAATATAGATAGGATTAAAGCTGTAAATTCTGATGTAAGTGCTACTTAAGTGGAGAGTTAAAAAAAATTATGCAATAAAATAAACACTTAATGTGTATTTTGGATGTTTTCTTTCCAATTATCTGAAAAAGCCACTGCATTGGATAACAAAATATGAAAGCAAATGGCATTTATTTACAAGATGGCACAAATACACTTTACATGCACATACACACGCACACACACTTTCATTCAATTTTGAGTTTAAATATACACAGTATATTTAAAATAATGTATATTTGAACAACACCTGTGGGTAAGTGTCTTCATGCATCCACTAAAAAGTCATCAAAACACCAAGTGATTAAAAGACATTGAGCAAAAATACTGAAGTGAAAAGACGCTTGAATGCACATGACATTTGCGTTGATATTTTGTAATGTAATACTTTTGGGGCCACTGTACAGTATGTTGATCTTTCATTTGAATATGAAATGTCAAAAGTCCCCAAAAGATCAGGCACCCAATTGATGTGCCATGGCATAGCACATTTTTTTTCTCTCTCTCTCTTTCCTTCTGATCTATCTTTCCTCGCACGCTTGCAACAACAACAAAAAAATCCCCTTTTAGTTACAAAGCAGCTGCACTTGCAGATCTGCTCTGGGATTCATTTAGTAGTTTAATGGAACAAACACACCATAAGTCAAAAGTATCTGCCGTTGAATAAGATAAACAGAAGCAGTGCAGTATACTATTCTGCAGTTTTACTTCCTTGTGTCATAAAGATGTACCCACTACATGCGTCAGTGTTTGTGTATAGAATGCGATTGGGCCACACTGCAGTGTGGTTGCATTTACCGTAGCGCACTTGATTTTAACTCTGACTGGGGACTTCTCTTGGTAAAGTGTTAATGGGAAGAGAAACTTAGCGCTGCTGGTAATCCAGACCAAAAGCAAATAAATACATCCAGCCCTCTACTTTATTGCCTTCCTTTTCCCCCCCCCCTCTCTCTCTCTGTCTTTCTCTCAGCATGCAGCTGTTTCCAGGAAAGGGGGGGCAGCAGCGACTCTTTCTGAGCTCGTCTCTATAGAGGGCAAGGAGGACAAACACATGAACTGGCCACCAGAGTCATGGAAAATGTGTGTCACCCAAATCCTTCAGAAGAATACACCCCCAGCTTTGATCGCCATTATTAGACTTCTTTTCTCTGAAAAACTTGATTTGCAACCGGTTTGGAAGATGCCACCTGTAGGAGCTTCGGCTGAAAGTATAATGAAAGATACATTACTTTGAAAATGCATGACTTTAGATATTTTTACAGTGCTTTTTTGAGCTTGAATCCACCTTGTCTTGCACGGCAAGCATTGTCTTGCATTGCCATTGAATGGCAATTAGTAGCGTGAATGTTTTGTTTTGTTTTGTTTCTTATGACAAGACACCCCAGGTGAATTGCGTAAAAATGTATTAATCTCTCTCTCTGTCTTTCTCTCAGCATGCAGCTGTTTCCAGGAAAGGGGGGGCAGCAGCGACTCTTTCTGAGCTCGTCTCTATAGAGGGCAAGGAGGACAAACACATGAACTGGCCACCAGAGTCATGGAAAATGTGTGTCACCCAAATCCTTCAGAAGAATACACCCCCAGCTTTGATCGCCATTATTGGACTGCTTTACTCGAAAAAAAACCTTGATTTGCAACCCGTTTGGAAGATGCCACCTGGAGGAGCTTCTGCTGAAAGTATAATAAAAGATGCATGATTCAAGAATGCATGACTTTAGATACTTTTACAGTGCTTTTACAGATACTTTAACAGTGCTAAAAAAAAATTTGTAAAAAGAAATGTTATATCAAGTTTTCTGAAATGTTGTTTAAACACAAAAACAATGCATTACGTGATTAAATAAATATGTGCTAATTTGCATACATTTTTAGAACAGAAATGTAAACAAATAAAAATTCTTGGATTCTACAGAGAGGATTGTGGATTTCTCTTTTTATCACTCCATAAATCAGAAAATAGTGTCAACAGCCAGAGAAAATGAATTAGGAATAAAATACTGTAAAAACTCATATACATACATATATATTTATATATATATATACACACACACACATATACATATATATACACACATATACATATATACATACATACATGTACATATACATATATACACATACACACATTATATATATATAATACACACACATGAAGTGCAATGAACACTTTCTTTCCACTAATCTAAAAAAAAAAATCAATAATAAAAAGGCAAATAGCACAAAATCTGAAAACTGACCAGTGCTTGAATAAACAATGTTTTAGTTTTCTTCTCTGTAGTGTCTTGCCTTAAGAATAAAGTAAATCATACAAGCTTGCAATGACATGAAAATGACCATTTTTGGCTGAACTAACCCCCCGTGCTGACCAAACATTAACTGTGTAACCTCATGCACTGATTTTTAATTTGTGCAAATACGATCCAAAGATTTCCAGCTGCAGACTCCGTGGTTAAACACTATCCAAACCCATTCCTCATCCAGGCACGGTTACCTCCCGCTACACCTGTGTTCCAGTCTCTCACCCTCCAGGAGTTCTGTGTACTTTCCAGGGAGAGTTAGTCATCCTATAGGCCCTTTCACTTGCTTGAGCTCAACCTCTCCTGAAAAATCCCCTTCAGGAAGAGTCAACATGAACAGAGCTCTGCCCGAGGGCGGCCGAGACACTTACACAATGCCATCTTTACCATTTACTGCTGTGTGAGTGCACACTATAACGCCAACAAGGTTTCTTCCTCATCTGCTTTAGCATCTTATGGGTGTTTACTTTTGCTACTTTTCGCTTGTAAAGTTTATTCTTCTGCTTAGCAGAACTGCTGCAGGAAACGCATCAAAGCAGGTTAAAAAAAATCAACTATTTTAAACTTAGACCAAAATGCAACCAGACAAATCTCACCACAACATAAATGCACAATAAAAAAAATCTAGAAAAGACCGTCATTAGTAAGTAAAAATAGTACAACGTGCTAAAAAAACAAAACAAATTCAATTCAAAGTGAATTGAATTTTCAATTGAATAATGTATCTTAAGAGAAATGTAACAAGTGAAATGAAATTGCTTTTATTTTCTGTTTAGCAAAATTGCATCAAAAATACACTATGTTAGACTGCAAGTTATTAGCAAGAAGGCTGTAAAAATGTAAACAGAATCAATTATAAATATAAATTATAAACAGGTAACCTGAAATCACTTTTATTGGTTTTCCTAGCAAAATTGCTGCAGAAAATGCATCAAAACATGTTAATATTAACTGTTAAATGTAAATGCAACCCCACAAAAATCACCACAACAAAAATGCACATTAAAAAAAATTCATTTTATTTACTCTACTTATTTTCTATATTGTCTGTTTCTGTACTAAATATACGGTAGACATAGAACTGTAGAACAGAATTAACATATTTAAATGTTAAAAAGCTTTATGACTCTAAATGAACCAGAACAAACTGAGACGAACACAAAAACAGCAGCGCATGTAAATACGTGGATTCAGTATTGTGCGTGTACGTGTGTGTGGCTGGTGACTCATGAGGCGTGGCTAAGCTGGACGGTGTTATTTTGAGGAGGTATAAAGCAAGCTCAGGTGAAACTCACTCGCAGAGAGGAAACTACTACTGAACAGTCTCTGGAATATCCCAGATGCTTACTGATAGAGAGAGAACTGTGTCCCTTTACTGACCCGCCTTCACTCACCTTAAACACACATCTTCCTCTTTCCTGCACATGATATCTGCCCGTTAAAGAGAAACACTGATTCTTAAACAGTTTATCATAAAATATAGGCCCTATACAGTGACCCCAAAAAGTAGGACACTTAAGTCACACTTAAAATGGAAAATGATTTTCTAATTCGAAGTTTAAAAAAAAAATAAAACAATAGATATACTGTCCAGAATGAAGACAAAAAAGTTTTTCTAATGCATTGACATTAACTGCAGGAGGTGAATGCATGTAAATAGACTATATTATGGCAGGGCCCATGGGAAAGACAGACGAGTAAAATGCTGGCAGGTCCGTCCGAGCGTCCTGTAGTGTGAGTCATCACAATCTGTTAGCAGGTTGATTTCACAGGAGCCACCACATTTCAACACTGACATTTCGTTTCTCCTTTTAAAATGTAGTGCAATCGCAAACCCTGTTATGCATGAAAGTTATAACAGTGTGAAGGATTAGCTTAATAGTGTGTTTTTACTGTTATATATATATACCTGAAGCTAAAGTGCAATAATTATGACTGTTTACATTTTAATAAAAAAATATCTAAAATTGATATAAAAAAATACATAAGAAAAAATGTTGTATGAAATATTTTTATCAATATTTATTTAAAAAATAAAATACAAACCAATAAAATATTTACATGTATAAGAAACAATGTTGTATGAAATATTATCAATATTTATTTAAAAAATAAAATACAAACCAATAAAATATTGAATGCAACACTGTTACACACACATGCAGAGAGAGCGAGAGAGAGAGAGAGAGAGAGAGAGAGAGTGTAGAGCAATGTCATGAAATATTGAAAAAAATGTTTACTTTAATGATACAAAAAGGCAAAAACATTACTACTGTCTTTTAAAAACTCTTACGTAATTCACAAGGAAGACTTGGTTTATTTCTTTCTTTTCAAAAGTTCCCAATGCCAATCGAGGTAAAGCATGTTTCTCACAACAAAGCCATGGCTTCACGATCTGGGAATATAAAAATTCCACTGTATGTTACTTTGGAAAAAACCATTACTACTGTCTTTTAAAAACTCTTACGTAATTCACAAGGAAGACTTGGTTTATTTCTTTCTTTTCAAAAGTTCCCAATGCCAATCGAGGTAAAGCATGTTTCTCACAACAACAAAGCCATGGCTTCACGATCTGGGAATATAAAAATTCCACTGTATGTTACTTTGGAAAAAACATCAAGCCAAATGCAAATAAATAAATATTCATCAAACTGCTACAGTGTTAAAACTTGCTTGAAATAAATCACTGATAGTAGTGAGAGTCGAAGGGCAGCTGTTCCAGTCTGGTGCTAATCAGAGATTGTGTTGTCAATTCATGAGCCTCCGGTTCTCAGGAAAAATTAAAAGGGCTGATGTATCCCAGGAGGCTGCACCTCTAGACACATCTCAACCTGCCAGGACCAAAACAGAAACGTCTGAACATCACGCACTGTTTGTCCAAACACTTCCCTTATCCGACTGAACCCTGCGCTAAACTCCCCAGCATGCATCACACAGCTCCTTATCGTCACGACCCGACCCTTCACATACAACACAGGCTTCACCAGAGTCCTGAACAGGCCTGTGCTTCTCAACATGATGCTTGGGGGTATGGATGGATGACACAGCACAACAAACATACAGAAAACACCATCAGCTGCTGTAATCTTATCATGAGCACTAACAATGACTAGTCAGTGAAACAGTTTAAAATCACATTACAGGATGGAGACGGTGATCCATAAATCAGAAGAACTATCTATCTAAAATGCATGCATTAAAATTGATTTTATATATTTTTTATAATTATATGTTTTATTGTCCCTTTCATTTTATTTACTCCACTTATTTATTTTCTAGTTTGTTTATTTCTGTATTAAATATACTGTAGACAACAGAATTAACATTATAAAATATTTCAATGTTAAAACAGCAGCGCACGTAAATGCATGGATTCAGTACTTGTGCATCATATCTTCTGTTATACTAACAAAACCTATTTCTGCTCTCAGTAAAAATATGTTGCGCACATCGACATTTTTATTTAGTTTAGCTTGATGTACTAAAATACTCAAACTTAAATAAAAATGTATTTAAAAAAACAAAGCGAAGTGAAAATGAAAAGTATTCAAATAAAAGCTGATTTAAAATGTTTGAAAAAATCTCAAAGATACTAAAATAATACTGTGTCAACAAAAATACTATTTAAACACAAATGT